GATGTTAGATAGGCAGACTCACAGTCTAAAGGATCAAACAATATAGACAAAGATGCTAGATAGGCAGACTCACAGTCTAAAGGATCAAACAATATAGACAAAGATGTTAGATAGACAGACCCGTAGTCTAAAGAATCAAACAATACAGACAAAGATGTTAGATAGGCAGACTCACAGTCTAAAGGTCAAACAATATAGACAAAGATGTTAGATAGACAGACCCGTAGTCTAAAGAATCAAACAATACAGACAAAGATGTTAGATAGGCAGACTCACAGTCTAAAGGATCAAACAATATAGACAAAGAGGATGTTAGATAGGCAGACTCATAGTCTAATAGATCAAACAATATAGACAAAGATGTTAGATAGACAGACTCATAGTCTAAGGAATCAAACAATATAGACAAAGAGGATGTTAGATAAGCAGACTCATAGTCTAAGGGATCAAACAATATAGACAAAGATGTTAGATAGACAGACTCATAGTCTAAGGGATCAAACAATATAGACAAAGAGGATGTTAGATAGGCAGACTCATAGTCTAAGGAATCAAACAATATAGACAAAGAGGATGTTAGATAGGCAGACTCATAGTCTAAAGGATCAAACAATATAGACAAAGAGGATGTTAGATAGACAGACCCATAGTCTAAAGGATCAAACAATATAGACAAAGAGGATGTTAGATAGGCAGACACATAGTCTAAAGGATCAAACAATATAGACAAAGAGGATGTTAGATAGACAGACCCATAGTCTAAAGGATCAAACAACATAGACAAAGAGGATGTTAGATAGGCAGACACATAGTCTAAAAGATCAAACAATATAGACAAAGATGTTAGATAGGCAGACCCATAGTCTAAAGGATGAAACAATATAGACAAAGATGTTAGATAGACAGACCCATAGTCTAAAGGATCAAACAACATAGACAAAGAGGATGTTAGATAGGCAGACACATAGTCTAAAGGATGAAACAATATAGACAAAGATGTTAGATAGGCAGACACATAGTCTAAAGGATGAAACAATATAGACAAAGAGGATGTTGGATAATTAAATTGCAACGTGTAAAGATATTGTCAAACAAGAAGACAACGCTGACAATTGTGATAGACAAGCCAATGTACAGACAAAGACCGTTAGACGAGCTGGTAGTTCAGTTCTATAAGTAGATAAAAATTAGTAGTCAGAGGCAGATTTCTGAGAGGAAGATAAGAAATTTTTTATATGATCTCTTTCATTGGTTCTTCATATCTAACAATTATATATTATTTATGAAGCCTGAATGAATCGTTACAACTTCAAGCCTTATCATACTGGTCAATACAGATATTTTTTTTAATTCTTTAGAATAACATGTATGGCTACTCACCTCCTATACCAGCATCAAAAGCTATGCCCACTGAACATATACTATTGTTTGCTACAGCGGCAACCTCTCCAGCACACCGGGTTCCGTGCCTGTAAAGAATATGGAAACAACTTTTGATGGTGTTTTTAACAGTATTTTTTCTTTATTCAGATCAGTATAAACTTAAAAGTGACTACAGTAACATTATAGGTGGCAGCATCCCCTTCGTTACTCTGTCTTATTTTTCAGGTTTTACTGATCTAATTTTGAGTGAGGCTGCTTATAAGAATCGTCATCTTTTTGACACCGTATACTGTAACTAGGAGAAACTGAAAACAAATTTTTAAAAAAATAGTCCACTTATAAATCCATAAATCTTTAAACCAAAGAAACACTTAGCTTAGGTATTTCTTTAAAGTGACGCAAACTGTACCTGTTAGAGTTAATGAGATCATATCTTGGCTGAGGGTCTTCATCATTATTATTTACATCAAAACTGGCTTTATGATCCTATAAAGAATGAAACATTTTCATTATGTAGATTTTTTAACAATACCTTTAATAATGTTGATCTATAAATGTCCTTAGAGATTGATTTAACTACACAGTGCAAGCTGAAAAGTAATACATTTCAAATACTATTACTGTATGTTTTATGCAAATTATTCTTGTACTGAACGAGAAAAACTAGTTATTCTGGTATTTAAGAAAACAAAACGATATACATATACTTTATTTATTAAAGTGCGTGTTCATAATGTGGTAGAAACCTCACAGACAATTAATTTTTTATGTTTATAAAAATGAATATATTAATAAAATGTTAGAGAGTTTATTAACAGTAAACTTGTACTTTGTATATTTACAATTCATAAGGGCTAACGATGCCTACAATGTAAGGTATAACTTTCCTGCTGTGTTGTTGGTGTTACTAGTGGCAGAAAAATGGGGCCTAACTACGAAGTCAAATCCGATTCAGGTTTGAAAGCAACATTTTCCAATCTTGTCCTTAATCTTGTGAGAACGATGCCTCAGGTGAGAAGACCTTTCCTTTCTCCTTTCCACCTAGAATAACTAAACTAAGGTGATTAAAGCTCCATAGTTCACGATTAGCTCCACAGGCACAAACCTGATTAGGGTTAGGTCACGAGCAGAACGAGGCCACTTGACTTGTTTCTAGCATAATATTCATCTTCGTAAAAAAGTAGGTCACGCGACAAGCGGTGTTTACTTTCTATTATTTCAGCCTAAGTTAACTAAATATTAATTGATTATATTTACATTTTGGTAAACATCGGACCTATCTGAATTAACGATGTTTTAAATCAAACAACTGAAGTAGTCACCATGTCGCTAAACTGATTCGTAAAATACAGCATTAATGTTTGGCTCAAATGATTTCAAACATCTGGTCCTGTGAATTTTTAGCCATATTCTAGATACCCCAGACATGTAATTAGGCCCAAGTACTTAATTACATATAGCGTTAATTGATAAAGATGCTAAATTGTTCTGAAAACAAGTCTAAACTCTAAACATTACACCAAACGTATGAGAACGTATAAGCCATTATACAAAATTAATATGCTTTTACTAGTATTATTAATTGGACACTCTTTCTTTCTCAACGCTACCAGCGACACTCTGGCACCTGAAATATCCCAGAAGTGGAAATTAGGTTTTGAATACGAGTCTTTTTACCTAATAATGACCTCATGTGTGACAGGAATTTTGGCCGTATTCCGCACTATAATATTAGCACTACACCACTACAGATGACTATTTAAAATATTTGCTATTAGGTCGCTTCTTTTTTGTACAATAATAAAGCTATTACAACTTAAGAACTCATTACTGCATTTATTTTCAGTAAACTCATTATAATGGTCGACTTGAAACAATTGTGGTCGTCCAAACCTGTTAATAACACTTAACTCTAGAACTTATCACAATTTGATATATTTCAATGTCGTATGTAATTACTTCAATGGTATAATTCTGAGTTTTAAAACCATTTCGTTACGAAAACTGGGCCCCTTAATAGAACACGTTTCACACTAACACAAATACTGGACAAGGGAAGAAAAAAAAAATAAAAGAAAATTAACACGAACTCGTAAAAAAAAAAGTCTGAAACCAACTAACAATAGTCATTCGTTCGGTTCTATTGTTAAATAATAAACTTATAACCTCACCAAACAATAGTCATTCGTTCGGTTCTACTGTTAAATAAAAATAATAACTTGGGTCAAAAAGACCATATGCCCCTCCTCACCCCGAAACTTTCAAGCTCCGTATTCTTTTTTCGTGATGCACATATCTGGAATAAAGCTATAGTAAGGTTACTGTACTCTTTCACACCAATAAATCACAAGTAACAACTACGTTTATACTACACTTAGTTGCTGTTTTAGAAGAACGTGTTTATTAGTACATAAAGGACAAACTTCTCTGAACTTTTGGTTGGGATATAAAACAGAATGAACAGTAATGCGACCCAAGATACGACAAAACAAATTGTTGTTCCAGACGTAAGTTTCTGATGTTGTTCAGAAGTTTGTTCAGCTATATACGGTGTGGTTATACCCCGTTCAGGATATTGGGCCCGGACATGACAGTGCTGATTGAGTTGACATTCACAGTGTAACGCATCATCGATGTAATGCTTCAGTAGTGTTACTTCCTAGTCTACGATAGAATTTCACTATGACTACTTTCTCCCGCGGACTCATACTTCTTACTTAACTTCCCCATGAAATACAAATAGTGACAGGCCTTAACAAATAGTGTGTGGACCTTAACTGAGTCTGTATAGTCATGGCTGAGCTCCCCTCAAGTCGGTAATCTGAGAGTTAAGTTAGTAATTTGTGGGTTAAACTTCTGGAGTGTACGCGAGACTCAATATTGTGATACATGCTGACGAAACCAAGGTTTCGTGATTAAATTATAATGAAAGCATAAGTTTCATTCTTACATAATTTTGTTTTATATCTGGATGATCTTTCTCAAGTCCATCGTCTAATATAGTGACCACCACACCTTTCCCGGACACTTTCATGTCCCAAGCTGGCTTCACATTCATGTCCACTCCATTACCTCGATTCTAAATACAAACCAAATAATTATAATTATTCTGTTCAGTTATCAGTAGTTTGCATATGCACAGGTGTCTGACAAAATCGTTAAAATATACACACGATATACTGAAAAGTAACAACACAGGTATCTGACATCGTTAAAATATACACACGATATACTGAAAAGTAACAACACAGGTGTCTGATAAAATCGTTAAAATATACACACGATATACTGAAAAGTAACAACACAGGTGTCTGACAAGATCGTTAAAATATACACACGATATACTGAAAAGTAACAACACAAGTGTCTAACAAAATCGTTAAAATATACACACGATATACTGAAAAGTAACAACACAGGTGTCTACTTTTCAGTATAACGTGTGTATATTTTAACGATTTTGTCAACGATTTTGTCAGACACCTGTGTTGTTGTGTTGTTACTTTTCAGTATATCGTGTGTATATTTTAACGATTTTGTTAGACACCTGTGTTGTTACTTTTCAGTATATCGTGTGTATATTTTAACGATTTTGTTAGACACCTGTGTTGTTATTTTTCAGTATAACGTGTGTGTATTTTAACGATTTTGTCAGACACCTGTGTTGTTACTTTTCAGTATATCGTGTGTATATTTTAACGATTTTGTTAGACACCTGTGTTGTTACTTTTCAGTATAAATTGTGTATATTTTAACGATTTTGTCAAACACCTGTGTTGTTACTTTTCAGTATATCGTGTGTATATTTTAACGATTTTGTCAGACACCTGTGTTGTTACTTTTCAGTATATCGTGTGTATATTTTAACGATTTTGTCAAACACCTGTGTTGTTACTTTTCAGTATAACGTGTGTATATTTTTTCGTGCTTAATTACAGACAAACAAACAATTATTATTTTATTATTTATTCAGGTGAAGTGGTTCTCGCAACAGAAACTGAAACGGCGAACGAAACGAGATCCACTGTTATTTGTCAACTCTGACCCTGGCGTGTACTTGAATGACCCCAAATGGAAAGAGATGTGGTATCTTGTAAGTTGTTCAGTCTAGTTTCTTCTTTTACAAGAACCTTTGAACTTCTCGACATTTGACTTTACCTTTACAACCTTGTGAAGACTTTTAGCGCATTCTTCTTTCTGGTGTACTTCAGATTAGAGTTAGTTTTATCACACACACACACACGAACAGAAAGGTAAATAGGGTTTGTGGAAGGTTTACCCAGGTCGTCGCTACACAATGGGCTATCCGTGCTCTACCCACCACGGGTATCGAAACCCGGATTCTAGCGTTGTAAGTCCGCAGACATAAATACATATACAAGTAACAATAATATAATAATAATAATAATATAATAATTGTTTGTTTGCTTGTCTGTAATTAAGCACAAAGCTACACAATGGGCTATCCGTGCTCTACCCACCACGGGTATCGAAACCCGGATTCTAGCGTTGTAAGTCCGCAGACATAAATACATATAAAAGTAACAATAATGTAAAAATAATATTATAGTAGTAATATAAAAAATTTCAAATTTCGCAAACAAAAATTAAAATCTTAATATCACCATGCAAGTATACACACGTCAGTAATTTTAATACATTTTATTTTGTCTGGTGTAATAACTGTAACATTATATTCAAACTGTAGCCTTCAGTTTTCAGTCTTTCTGTACTTCGTGTTACAGTTAGTTCACTATAACTGAAGAACTGACAAAGCTTTTTTTATAGCTATGCGTTTCATTATTTTGCAGAAAAATATATCATTAAACTATTAAATATGATGATACTTCTGTGTGCATGTATTTATTTAAACGTGTCTGATTAACATTCGTAAAACTACAAAAAAATACCCGTTTTTCCGAATGAAGTGACGCGTGATGATGAAGGCTTGGCTCTACGGATCGTTTGGACACCTGGTGGTGCTTAAGGTGATAATAGTCGTCAACTACCTGCAGAGGAAGACAAAGATTTCAATCAGACAAAATGAAATATGACAATGTAATGTACTCTAGATTCAAATGGTAACCAGAGATACTGTTAATGATTTTTGTTTGTTTCAGTTTTGTTTTGCGGAAAGCTGCTACGAAACAGCTACTTGTGAAAAGTCGCCCCTAATTCTTTACTAACAGACTAAATGGAGGTCAGCTACTAAACACCAACTCTCGTCAGAATTTGATTGTCACTCTTATGATACACCCAGTCTCAACAACGGGACACGAAAAACAAATCCTCTGGTTCATAGTCTGAGCACGCTACGCCCCGCCCGCTGTTAACTAATTAGATCTCCAATACTCTTTCCAGGGCGTTAATGTTTTCACGATTTAACTTGTCGTTGTTGTTCTTTACAAGTATCAGGTAACAAACAACATTTATAGTATATTCTTACACCAAAACTTAGCAAAGAAAACATTCTACGGTAGTTTTGCCAATGTTCTATTAGTTTTTGTAGCTGGTCAACGTAATGCTATTTAAATCTTTTTAAAATTCACGAAACATAATGGCAGATATCTGAGGACTCAAACGTTTTAGCAAGCACGTGGGTCATGGAGTTGTGCGTTATGATTTATATACAATTTCTTTCTTTCACAAAACACGTTATTTTCTGACTGGAGTTCTCTAAAAAAGCTACTAATTTCACAAACCATTAAATATTTTCAATTACAGCATTATGTTAGTTTCTTTGTCGACGACTTTAAATTTAGTCGACGATGACGAGAAGACGAAAATCAATAAGTATGACTAAGACGAGACAAAACTTATTTGTTGTAAAACATAAAGCTACACATTGGGCTATCTGTGCTCTGCCCACGGCATGTATCGAAACCCGATTTCTAGCGTTATAAGTCAACTGACTTGCCGTTGACCCAACGTGTTTGGCATGACGAAAATGTAACTATTTTGTTAAGGACGATGACGAAAGAAGTTAGCAAAGTTTGTTGGGTAATTGACTACCAATGCAATACCAATGATGAAAAAATAAAATTACCTGTAAATTAAATTGATTTTTACTTATATGGATTAATAGGGTAAATCAAATATAAATGTCACAAGAAACAAAACGTGAGTCAGTAATAACCGCTGCGTTAAAGTTTATTACGTGTTCAATTAAACACCAGGCTATTGATGTACTGCTTACACTTGAGAAACGTAAATATTGGCTGTATATGGAACTCTTCACAACCGCTTAAAAAGTCGTTTCATTTCTAATGTTTCTAAAAACACATACTTCTCTGAATCTATGTTTACTTAATTAACTTTATTACTTTCGTTTATGCTAAAATTCCTTATACATTCTGCTGTATTAGCATAAATGAACATACACTGTAATTCTATATGATATTAGTTCTATTTTATTATTGTCGTATTACTTCACGTGTGCCACGTGAGCTGTGTGTTGTCACAGTTGGCAGTGTTAATATCAACAATTTTATACAAGACAAACTTAATTACAATGTAACTGCTGTAGTAAAACTTTATATGATTTGGTTATTTACTGACGCTTTTATTTCTGTGGAGTGAAACCTTTAAATAATATACAGATAATTATGTCAAGAATAAAATGTTTGAGCATTTTATTCAACTAAACTAAAACTGTGACTAAATTAGACCCCGTGACTAAAAAATAAACCAAGACTGTGACTAAATTAGACCCCGTGACTAAAAATAAACCAAGACTGTGACTAAAAATAAACCAAGACTGTGACTAAAATAGACCCTTTGCCTAAGACAATGACTAAATTAGACCCTCTTACTAAAGAGTAAACTCCATAGGTTATTGTGAGCCTGTTTAGAATTAATAGTTTACTAAATGAACATCGATTACCACAAACTTAGCATACATTGACCTCGGCGCAATGTAATGACTTGGATATTCCCGGGAAGGAGATTTGGCAACTGTGAACGAACACGTACAAGTTCACTCAATGACCAGCGATTTTGTAACAACCGAGTTCACGTTTTTTGTTGTTTTTTCTACTCTCACTATTTCACGAATGTTTAGATGTTGTCTAAAGCCATGAAATTTTCCAACCAATATATGCAATCTTCTTCTGTAGAGAAACACAAAATATTTTCACACGTTAAACACAGCAGTGCAAATTCACTGAAGTAATTAAATAATTAAAACGTATCCCGTCATGCTCTTAATGAACGATATCTTTCTCGGCCGTGGCTTTAAAAAAGCACTTCGGCTTTCGTAGCGTAAAATAAAAAAAAAAAAGAAACCCAAGAAATGTTTATAATAGTACATTAACGGTAGAAAACGTTTACAAAATAAAAGACATGCCTAAATTTATTTTTTCTTTCTTTGATAGTCCTCTTTGTCTATTTCGGACTCAAAATCAGAGGCTTATAAAAATAACGCTTGAGATCCATCTTTTGTGTCCCATGAATCATTGCCCACGAGAACTTTCGTTCAATACCAAAACTCGTCATAAGACAATAATTTGGGTAAACATAAATAGAGAACATCTAATTAATTATAGTAATTCCACTGTCTCGTTATTTTGTCAGTCAGCTCGTATTTGTTTCAACTTAATATGCTTTGACCCACCCCAGTCCACAGGTCATAAAAACCAAGAGGCGTAACATCTACTAAAAGCTGGCGCTTCCTGTCCAGTAAATCAAGGAAAACTACTCAGAATCGTTTATTCAATGCAACACCAGAAAAGTGTTATGGAAGCTGAAACAGCACCGTTTGTCCTTTAACAGTAAAGTTTTCGAAAAATACAACTTCTTGGCACATCATTTCTTCCTTCCCGTTTTCGTCAAGATTTTGGTGCCTTTTGAAAAGACCTATTTTCAGTACTAAACTAATCAGTAGCACAGCCAGACGTGGCGACATGGACTGTAACGACGTGGTGATGCTCCAAAAATAGTTTTAAGATAACGTACTCAACCCTCTGTGGTAAGAATGAAATACTTTGTTATTACCATTATTATAACTGCTTTCAGTTTATTAGATCGTTCAGTGATTGATCAGAACTCAACCAATCATCGAAGAACATTTATTGGTGAAGGATGTCCTGAATGTCGTGACCACGTTCAAAACTTTACAGTACAAATCAAGGTCAAGATGGAATGACCCTGAACAAAAGCAGTCTAACTTCGGGAAGAATTTTCGTCAACTCTCCAAGTTATTTAGTAGAGTAACCACTGGCTTAAATAACGCGTTCTCTCCAAAAATTTCTTACTAAGTAACACGTTCTCTCCAAATTATTTACTACGGTAACCACTGACTTCAGTAACACGTTCTCTACAGATTATTTACTACGGTAACCATTGACTTCAGTAACACGTTCTCTCCAAATTATTTACTACGGTAACCATTGACTTCAGTAACACGTTCTCTCCAAATTATTTACTACGGTAACCATTGACTTAAGTAACACGTTCTCTCCAAATTATTTACTACGGTAACCATTGACTGATGTGACAACAGAAAAGTATTTTATTATTATCATTGGCCATGGTTAACTATAAAGAAATATTCAGTGCATTCTTTCGTCCTGAAATGACAATTCACTTGTAACACTACACTATGTAGACTAGCGACCGAATCACCGCGACCTTCCTTCATCGTAGACATATGTATACACAGTTCCTACAATGTCACATATCGTTACAACAATGTTAACATGTGTTCATAGAGTGTAACGTTTCAGCACGTGCACCTTCTGACTCGTCACATGAAACAGCGACTCTCCAAACTAGAAAATGAACTTGGGAAAATGTTTGACCTTGTAGTCTGTCAGTCTGTACAGACATTAAATGGACATCAACCTAAACAATAAAAAACGCTTAGAAGAAGCCTCCAAAATACTGACACCAACCAAAACCTAAACAATAAAAAACGCTTAGAAGAAGCCTCCAAAATACTGACACCAACCAAAACCTAAACAATAAAAAACGCTTAGAAGAAGCCCCCAAACTACAGACACCAACAATAACCTAAACAAAATAAAACACGTTTAGAAGAAACCCACACACACCAGTGACACCAACCAAAACCCAAACAATAAAAAACGCTTAGAAAAAAAACCAATGATTGGTTTAATTACTGATTTTCGTTCGTGGGAATGAATTTCATAAGTAAAAAAATCATCTCTTCATAAAACCCCAAACATACACACACAGAACACAGGTTAAGTCTAAGCACTAGAAAGTATTACAACAGTTTTGTTTTCTATGTACTGACCTGTAGACGTTATTGGAAAAAACAAACAAACAAAGCAACTTGCTAACTGGTAACCGAATTGCTATTAAAACTGTATTCGAAAAATTTATCTTTTTTTCTCTGAAATTAAAAATTACATTACTCTCGAGAGATTTTTTAAGATTTATTCAAATAGTGTGCAACTGCTACCATATACCAAGTTTAATAAAAAAAAACCTTTGTAATTTTTGGTGCCACAATATGTGGTAGGTGTGCGCGTGCGCAGAAAACTCCTCACAACAGGAAGAATCCTGAACCATGTTATGATCCCGCCATTCACACGGTCGTATAGCGGTTATGTCGATATGAACAGAGATCGTGAAAACCGCCCGTGATTGTTGTATTTCACCATTTTATGCAACCATATGAAACACCTATTTAAATTGTTTTATTGTCAATTTTTTTTATCTACGTTAACATTTCTTTTCTGTTTAAATTCCTCTACTGCTTCCATTACACACTGCTTTCTAATTGTTTGTTTTATTGTTAAAAATCGAAACAGGAAACTTCAAATTTTCCTGTGCTTGTCAGTAAGTTCACCAGGAAATGGTTAAAAACCAATACAGCAACAATATCAGAACGAAGTACTGTATCAAACAATACATTCTCATCGCTATGTACAAGTACGAAAACAACAGTGTATGTTGTTTTCGTATTTGTACATAACGATGAGAATGTATTGTTTGATACAATGTTCATACACTGTTGTTTTCGTACTTGTACATAGCGATGAGA